TTAAATAAATAATATTTAATAATCAATAATAATATCCAGCAGAATTCTTATCTCAGCTAGCCATCTAATGCTGTATTCACAATAATTTTCAGTCTCCAATATTATCAATCTCTCTGTCTCTCTCCCCTCTCTCGACTTCAGCTGTTCAAACAGAGCATAAACAAACCATTTTATAACATAGTTTATGGCCTTATCGGCGAGTCATATAAGCCCAATCACAGCTATAAAGAGTACTTTCAGTTCCGAGTGCAGCCCTCGTCTGAGGCACAGATAGTGTAGAGTCCAGCCCTGGATGTGCTTTGCCGAGTTACTTAATCCGGCTTATTATGGACGCTCTGTTTGGTTTGCCTGTTGATTTGTTGAGCTGCCTGCGTCCAGTTTTATTTCGCGCTGCGATTATATACGAGTAATTTTTGTAGCTTTTTCGCTGTTTCTCCAGTTTGTTGTTGTTGTTGTTGTTTATTTTCGCTCTTTTCTTTTCATAATATCTGCAAAACAAAATTCGTTTGGCTGCACTTCAAATGCTGCTGTTGTTGTTTTTGTTGTTGGCAAATTTTTGTTACCATTGGCAATAGCCGGATTTCTGGGGGCTTATCCAGCCCAGCGATCGCTGCACTGTGCAACAAAATAATAATTTTCACTTAATTATCTAATGAACAAACAAAACCTTAGACATTAGGCTGAAATGATGTTTGGATATTCGATTTTTGTTTTTCTGCGGTTTCTTGTTGTTGTTGTTGTTGTTGGAATTTTGCAAACTGATTTTTAGAGCTGAGCTCGGCTTTTGACCCGCTGACGACGATGTGGACATAGCTAATGATTAAATTGTTGAGAGTTGCAGTGAAATTTGGTGTGTTTATTTTTGCATTACGTATACGCAGCGTTATGCAAGCCAATTGCTGGTTACAGTTAATGGAAGACAGCAGACAGCCCAGAGAGTAGCAGATAGCCGCAGCAACAACTCAAATCAACTCAGCTCAACATTTAACTAAATTTGCTTTCTTCTTCTCTCTCTATCTCTTGTTGCAGGATGAAATGCAGCTGCCACCCACGCAGCAACAGTTGCAGCAGCACAAGCAACAATCGCTGCAGCATTTGGATCAATGCGGCCTCACGCAAGCCGGCCTGGAGGAATACAACATACGTGCCTCGTCCTACTATGACCAGACAACGTTCCATCATCAGAAGCAGGCGTCCTATGCACAGTCCGAGGGCTACCACAGCTACGTCTCCAGCTCCGATAGCACGTCGGCAACACCGTTCCTAGACAAGTGAGTCGAGTGCTTCAAGCAATTGCTAAACATGTTCGCTCAAAGCGACAATTATGAATTCTATTTGCCAGACAGACAGACACAACACACACACACACACACACACACATACTTAGATCTACATAAAAAAGTGATTAAATGTGATTCTTGGTAAAGCAAATAACAAACGTCGCATATGAGCCATAAAAATAAAAAAAAAATGAAAAGACCAGTAGAAGCACCAGAAGAAAACAACACAAACCCAACTAGCTTAACTTTCAAGGTCTTGGCAGACAGACTCGTATTGCTCTATTGTACTTGCTTTGAAGAGAGTTTTTTTTTTTTCTATTTTTTTATTATATTTCTTATTATTTTATTTTATTTTTTCGACTTGTCTAACGCCATCGAAATGCGATTTTGAAGGCTAAGCTGAAATTCGAGTAATTACGGTCATGCCCAGCTATATATGTAGAGGCCTCCATGTGCCGGCCATTGTAGAAGGAAACGCCAAAAAACATGACAGACACAATTTTCTGCTTCTTTCGGCAGTTAGTTATAGTTATAGAAAATGCCCAAGTGGAGTATAGTGGGTATTGTGGAAATGGGGGGTGAGAGGTGGCAGGGAGAGATGGGCTGTAAATACTTATATAGTTAATTGTGATATGATATGGTCGAGTTTATATTTAAACTCTGATCTGTCTGCCTGTCAGTCTGTATCTCTCTCTCTCTCTCTCCCACTCTCTCTCTTTGTATAGGGTATTTTCTAGTCATTCATATTAGACCAGATCACTTTTATTTCACTCATTTCTGTATTTTATGTAGTCAACGCCTCAGCACGCAATGATTTGCGATATTTGCTATATAGTAGTAAACCTTCTGACTCTATATACATATATGTATGTATCTATTTTAATGTATTTCTCTCTCTTTTGCAGATTACGTCAGGAGAGCGAACTGCTCTCGCGCCAGTCGCATCATTGGTCTGAGAACGATCTCAGCTCTGTTTGCAGCAATTCGGTGGCTCCCTCGCCCATTCCGCTGCTCAATCGACAATGCAACAGCCACGGCAACGGCAGTAGCAACAGCTCCCAGCATCACAGCCCCAATAGCAACAACAACAACAACAACAACAGCTCTGAGAGCACCTCCTCAACGGAAACGCTGAAATGGCTTGGCTCAATGAGCGACATTTCAGAGGCGAGCCATGTGACGGGCTACAGTGCCATTGCCGAATCGGGTGAGTGCAATAGATAGAAGAACTAGTTGAACTGGGGAGTAGAGATCATATAGGGATAGATGGGAGCTTGGGATTAGGAATCAAGTTGAAAATTTGAGAGATCGTAAATCTAGTTCTTAGGCATCAACTATTATAGAGATATGGGACATAGCTGAGCTATAATAGGACTTAATATCTCCCAACTGAAATAACTCAAAGTGGGAATTCAGTTAAAGAGGTAACGCCCCAAGCTAAGAACTCATATTTTCTTGAATTTTAATTATTAAAATTATATTGCAATTTTTACTAAACTCTGCTCTTCAAAATAATTAATAAATAGTTCTTCTCGTCTACATTAGTGACATTCCTCCATCATAAAAAACCTATTTCAATTAACTTACTTAGCATATTTTAAATACTATTTTCAATAAAAATCTAATTTCATCGCGGAAGACTTTTAATTAGGTTTTATTGAAAAAGGAAATGAGCTTTAATTGAAATGGAATCTTGAATGAATTGGCTGTGAAATTCAATTAAAATACAAATAAACAGTTGTTGAGCCAGCTTAAAATGTATATATTATGGGTATTCCTGCTAATTGATAGACTGTAAATGCTCTGCAACTCATTCAGTTTTATTGAGAGCTTGAAATAAATTTAAATTAATGCTGGTATACCCCCAATGTGCTGCAAATGAACCTTCTATGCCTAGACCTTCATTGATATAATAGTAATATTTTGACTGTCTATTCAAAATGCGAATATTCCCAATAATATTTCCTTAATAATTTCAATTGCTAATCATGTCAAATTCGGCATTCTTTATCTGCTGGAATACCCCTAATCTTAGCATTTTTCTTGTCAATTCCTGCAGCAGAGCTTAATTGAGCTCTATATAATAATATTCCTAATGTAAATATGACTTTTACTTATTTCCTTACTATAAGCCTCTTTTTCTACAAGCATACCCCTAATATTAATACTTTGACTGTCTATACTTATATGCAAATTGAGCTCTGTTATATATGTAGAAATATGTCTAATAGAAATATGCATATCAATGGCTAATCAAGTCGGACTCGGCACTATTTATCTGCTGGAGTACCCCTATTATTAATCTGTATATCAGCCACACGCCACACGTCACGATCGTGACTTTATCTAAATTGTTTCGATTAGCAGCGCTGTTAAATACTTTTAGAAGTCTGCTGAAACCAGTTGCTGCCCATTTTGTTGTATTTTGTATTTTTGGCGACTGTTGGCCACTCACATTAGTGGGGGGCAGCTGCGACCTTGGGTCAAATTGTGGCTTGGCCCCCACGACCCACTTTTACTAGGCAAAGCAGCGACAGAGACAGAGATAGAGATAGAGACAGGGACAGGGACAGGGACAGAGCCTTTAGCTCATTCGAATGTTGCTATTGAATTTGTTCTCTTTATTCAGACTTTGTTCTGTTCTCCATTGCAGTTTCCTCCTCGCAGCTGATTGTGCACAGCTCCCGGGTGCTGACGCCCAAGCGGCATCAAAGCGAGAGCGTGCTCTATCTGCACGACAACAGCGAGCCAACAGCAGCAGCAGCAGCAGCAGCAACAGCGACAGCAACTCCTGCTGCTGCTCCTGCTGCCGCTCCTGCTTCCACGGCAGCTGCATTGCCCGCCAGCCAGTCGATCTCAGAGGATGTGATGCCGCCGCTGCCACGCATCGAGCATCGTCACAGTCCCAGCTATCCGCCGGTGCACACATCCATCGCGCTGCATCGCTTCCAGCAGCAGCAGCAGCAGCACTTGCCAAACAATTACAAGTTGAGCGCACAAAGTTCCTTGCCCGAGCTGGAGACAACAGCAGGAGCAGCGGCAGCAGCAGCAGCAGCGCAAGAGTCTCGCTCCCACCTGGGCCAATCCCAGTCGACAGGTGACCTGCAGCTGCACAAGTCAAGCATTTCGGTGACCATATCGAGCAGCGAGGCGGTGGTCACAATCGCGCCGCAGCCGCCGCCCAGCAAGCCGCAGCTCAGCAAGCTGGAGCTGCACAGCTGCAGTGCACCCAATGTGGCCATCTCGAGCAGCAGCAACAGCAGCAGCAGCCACTCGCCAACCTTTTCCAGCACCGCCAACGACTCGTATCGCAGCAATCATCGCCTGTTCCCCGTCAGCACCTACACCGAGCCGCTGCAGAGCAACAGCTCGCAGTATGTGCAGCATCCGAAGCCGCAGTTTAGCGCCAATCTAAACAAGTCCATCAAGTGAGTGTGTGGCAGCAAGTCTCTCCAAATCCTTACTTAATCAGCTCTCCTCTCTCCCGCAGACACCCTGTGATAACGCCCGCTGGGTCGGCTGTGCAGCCCGCCTGGCATTCGGTGGCTGAGCGCATCAACGACTTTGAGCGCAGCCAAATGCTGGAGACACCGAAGTTTGGCTACCTGGAGCCAAGCAAAACCCATCGGCTATCGAATCCCGCGCTCAAGGCGCTGCAGAAGAATGCCGTGCAGTCCTATGTGGAGCGCCAGCAGAAGGAGGAGCAACAGCTGCTGCGCTCTCAGTCGCACTCGCATTCGTATCAGGCGCTGCAGCAGATCGAACGCAAATCGCTGCCCAACAAGCTGAGCCCATTGATGGTGGGCTTGCCCAGCACCAACTCCAACTCCAATTCGAACTCCAACTCCAATTCGAACTCCAACTCGAACTCCAACTCTGGCTGCAGTTCACCCACACCGCCGCCGCCGCCGCCTCGCTCCCGCTCGCTGCTGCCCAATCTGCTGCGTCGCTCCAGCTCCGCCTCGGACTATGCGGACTTTCGTGAGCCGCAGCAGCAGACGCAGCAGCTGAAGCCGCCGAGCATACGGAACATAAGCAGCGCTGAGAAATTGTCGTTCAATGATTGTGGCATGCCGCCGCCGCCGCCACCGCCGCGCGCTCGCATTGCCATGCCCACGCGCCGCACCTCCTCGGCCACGGAATATGCGCCAATGCGGGAGAAATTGCTGCTGCAGCAGGCAGCGGCGCTGGCCCATCAGCAACATCATCCGCAACAGCATCCGCAACAGCATCAGTCGCATCAGTCGCATCAGCCACATCACTCACATCATCCACATCAGCCGCAGCTTCATCATCGTCCGGTGCAGCATGTGTATGAGCGGCCGCCCGAACGTCCGCCTAAGCAGCCCCATTTGCGTGTGCCCTCGCCGGAGCTGCCGCCCCCGCCGCTGGGCGCCGAGCTGGATACGAGCTATACGTTCGATGAGCCGCTGCCCCCACCACCGCCGCCGGAAGTGCTGCAGCAGCGGCCGCCGCCATCGCCGAATCGTCGCAACAGCTTTGCGGGCGCAGCCACAGCGAAGCCCACGCTGGCGCCGAAGGTGCCGCCGCAGGTGCCCAAAAAGCCAACGAGCTTGCGGCAGGTGAGTCTCCAAAAAAAAAAAAAAAAAGTAAATCTCACATATGTTAACTACTCTCAACTCTTCTCTCTCTCTCTCTCTGTCTCTCTCTATCTCTTTGACAGCTGCCACAGCAGTCGCTGTCCAATGGCGCCGTCAAGCCCACAAATCTGCCCACAACAAACAGCCGCAAGCGGCCGCACAACAATCCGCCGCCCATCCTGGAGAGCGCCGGGGCACAGCCGGCGCCGCCTCCGCTGCTGCCGCGCGCTCGGCCCACGCCGTGCCACGCCGCTGACAGCGTGATAGCCAGCAATCTGGAGAGCAATCAGCACAAGCGGTGAGTGCAGCACAGCTCTGTGCATCAATCATACGACCCGTTTACCCACCCTGCTTATGCCTCTTCCTTAGATTATACTATTTTATTTATGATTTAATTTGCGGGCTGCTCAAGTGTTGGCGGCATTTTCGATTTGAAAAACTAGCGGGAAAATGTGTATTTTGATGAGTTTCAGCCAGCTAAGGTTGGGTCAAGCACTTAGCAGGTAGATTACCTCAACTGCTAACCATATGAGGGGCGGGCAAATTTACTGGCAAATGCTTGATGAGCTCTTGTATATTTGCCATACATATCTAGCATATAGTTAGCTTAAAGCTCAGTTAAAGCTTCTTCAAAACCCATTTGAAGTCTCTGTAAGCTAATCCCCTTTAATGCGCATTGAAAGCTCATTAAAACCAGTGCCTGAACTTTATCTTAAACTAAAATCAGAATGCTTTCAGTTTGTGTTCAAGAAATTAAGCAACTAAAGCTTCTGCGTGAATTTCGTTGCAAATTGGAAGCTTAGCACAGCAAACTTGAATTTGCAAATCACGTAAACTTATTTAGACTTGAAGTGACACAAACTTAATATTTAAAATAAAATCAGGAAACTTTTTTGAAAAGCTTTGCAGAAGCACATGAAGACTTATCCTTGTAGCATTCGCTTGGCTGTTTTGAAAAACTATAATCAACAAAATCTGTATGCAAATGCTTTAGAAGCTTTATACTGTAAATCATTGCAACATCTTCGAAAGCTTTCTCATATCACAGCACTATAAAATCTTCCTTATTGTTCCATAGTTAGCAAAATACCAATAAAACTATAATCAGTAAATTTTATAGATCATAATCATAGTCATCATTATATCTGATTAATTTAAGAACTTTGCAATCCCAAATAGCAAAATCTCTTAATCAGACTTACACAACTGTAACTCAAAGCTATGCAGCAGCTCTACTTAATTTCAATGCTTCATCAGAATTCGAATGCTTTATCAAAATCTTCCGCCTCTTGTCAGCTCGCTTAATTTCAGCTAATGTCATTTGGCATTTGAAAATTTCAGCTAATGTCATTTGGCATTTGAAAACAATTTGTTGCTTCAGCTTCAATTAAATTTGGGTTTTCATTGTGCGTGGAATTGGAAGTCATTTGCTACCAACTGATCCAATAATAAGCAAATAGCTTAGGCTCGCATTCCAGCCTTGAGTTTTTGCTCTATATAAAGCACGCACACTTATACACATATACACATGCATAAACAGATTTGGCATTTGTGGACTTAGAGTCGAAAATCGCATTTTCAGTTTAACCATGACGCGCCTCGCTCATTGTTCTTGACCTTATCGAATCCAATTAACTTTTGTGGTTGTTGGTATTTGAATGCGGTGCGTGTAGCACAGTAGCCACTGAATCACCAACCACTGAGCCACTGAGCCACAAGCTTCATTGACTTTTTGGCTAATAAGCCGCTTCCTTTGGCCCGTCAATCAGCTGTCGTCTAATGTTCACTGAGCAGCTGTGAGCTGTGCCTGTGCCTGTGCCTAGCGTCTAATTGGATTATGAAACACACACAGACACAGACACACACACACTCATATATATAGACTGCACTGTGTAGCATAAATCAAGCAAATCAAGCGAATCAAGCCAATCGACTGTTCACTTTCGCTTTTTAGTGTCCATTGTGGGTGACCCAATATTCCAGAAAACCAAAACGCCAAAAAAAAAAAGACTTAAAAATCGTTAAAAAATTGTTTTACAAAAATCACACACAATTAGGAGTGCTCTAGGCGGGTATGCCTGACTAGGGTATACCTTCAGCTCACATTGTCAACCAAAATATGAGATATATATATTAGTTACATATATCTATATATGTATATATGAATACAAATGTATAGATGTATATAAATATACATATATAAATAGGATATTATTATATATATGATAGGGTAAAAATGGGCTATTTTTTTATAGGATAAAATGTATGTGAATATATATTTATGTATGTATTTAGAGTTGAGCTATTTTTCTTGTTCCGTAAACCCATTAAAAGAGGGTTTCTGGGTTTCTGGGTTATTCGATCTGAATATATATTTTCTGAGCATTATGACTTAGGATTCATTTCAATTAAATTCTAAATAAATCCCATAGAAGGCCTTATTAAGCCATATGCCTAGGAACATATCAAATGTATTCTTAAAGAAGGTTTTTTCTAATTCCCATATAAAGGAAACTTCAAGATAGTGCTTTAAGAAGACTATAATAATCCAGCATAAAACCCTTCCATATTGACTCTGTGACTACCACTATGCCATACATTCAAATAGAAACAATATACTCTACTCCAACTATATTCCATGCTGTACAGGGTATATAGAAAAAGTCAAACGGGCGCACCTGAGCCGCAACAACAACAGCAGCGGCGGCGGCGGCAACAAAATGTGTCAACAATTTATGTTGCAGCTCCTGTGGCATGTGTCGGTATCAAAGAGTAGGTGTCTGTGTATGTGTGTGTGTGTGTGTGTGTGCCTGTTGAATAAGTTCTTTGTTCTGTTTGTGATTGTAAAAGCAAAACGAATTGAAAACGTAAAAAATCCAAACATAATCGAAATATCGAAATTTATCTGGTAAGGGGCTACCCCTCCTATAATACAATCTATGGGCAGATACAAATATCTAAATATATAGAGACATAGATATATATGCACAAAAGGTCCATTCTGTTGCGGGCATTTGACATTGATAGATGAACAAATTTGGGTTTGGGTTCATTAGCGAGGCGCGTAGTATAATAATATTTTTTGCACCCACTGTATTAGATGGCTGGGTGCGGGCATTAGATAACCAGCCACCAAATGGAGCAGCAACGAGATGTTGTTGCCGTTGTTGTTGTTGTTACTGTTGTTGTTGTTGCAAGCTCAATAATTTTGGTGGCCTGTCATGTATTTAGTTTTCGGTGTTTTTTGTTGTTTTTGTTTTTTTGCTTTTGGTTTTGGTTTTGCTTTTGCTTTGTGTGGTGGCTCTGACACCGTGGCAGACCTTTGCGGCACGATTTGTTGCAGCACATCCAGCACGAGACAAATATTGACACAATTTGTGGCAAGTCTTTTATTTAGCTGGGCTTGTCTTATGTGTGTTGCCGTGTTGTTTATATCCCGCTAAACGAGGAGTTCAAATGCCGTTTCAATCGTGCCTCATTTGCATTTTGAAAGTTTTGTTCGCCTTCGCCTCAGAGTGCAGAAACTGGAGCAAAGGGCAGCCAGGCAGACAGGCAGGCAGGCGCATTTCCTTGCAACTTTGTTGTTGCCAACATTCCAACCTGCAGTCAGAGCTGTGCAATTGGCCATCTTTCACTTATGTGAGGCTGTTCTAGTCATTTCTCTCTCTTTAATTCTAAAATAAAGCTCTGTAGCAGTTTTCTATAAGCAAATATTTTCTGCTTTAGCTAAGAAATATATCCAGGTATCTCTTCGTCGTGCATGCCCAACTGGAGCATAATTATTTGCTGTAAAGTCCTTTAAATCATTTTTGTTTTGGGCGTCATCTGTTTCAGCTCTTTACGTAAGGCGTCAAGTAACACTGACCTGCGCAAGCACACACATGTCCACACTCACACACACACACACACACACTGGCATGCACTCACACTCATCGAGTAATCAGTGCATTTGGCTGACAGCTCGTATTTTTTTCAGTCATTAATTGGCCACAAACAAAAAAATAGCACCTACGGCCACTTGGAGTTAGCCTGCTTGAAGGTGTGTCAATTCTTGTTGCTTTACCTGGCTCTGGCATGGCTTTTCTTGATATCTTTTCGGCTTTGCTTTATTTTTCGTACGGTTTTGGTCTGCCAAGTGTTCTGGACAGGCGCTAATTATCGCCTGCTGCCCAGGCCCAACGATTTGAATTAATTTTCCGTGGCAATTTGACTGGCACACATTCACAGTGCAGCTAAATAACTACGGACGGCTAGCGTATTATTTTCAAATTAACTGCCAACTCGATTGCGCACACGCGGCGTATGCGAAATAAATCACTCATGCGCCCCGCTGCCCGAAAGGAAAACAAAACTACGCCAACTCCAAGACAATTCAATTTGCGAGACAGTCGCAATGCGATGCAGTCGCCATGATTAGCAGACAGACAAAAAAAAAAAAAAAAAAAAAAAACTAAATAAGTCAGAAGAAAAGAAACAACAATAAAATCGAGATCCCAGCGTCGTCGTCGTCGTGCGCAACATTTAACAAAGTGCTTGCCATAATTTTGGCGCTATCGCCAGCTAAATATCGACAGCAATGATCGATTGAACTTTGCCAGAGAATATTGCGCAAAAATCGCAACAACTAGACAGGCACACACACTCCTATATATATACATACACAAAAGGCGATTGCATTTAATGCACATTCATTTTATGGTCAACGCCAAGTTTATCGCATTTTGTTTTTCGTTGCCCTCTGCTTTATGTTCGCTGCGCCGTTTTTTAATGAAAATAAAATATTATGCATTTAAAAAAATATATTATGCATTTTAGAATTGTATTACGGCTTAAATCTTAGAGTAAAAGCGGAAAATGAAACTTAACAGTCTGCTAAAAAATGCACTGCCTACTTTTAAGCGCCATTCAATATTTACCCGCGCCGCTTAAAAGTATGCAGGAAATTTTTAACTTTTATGAGAAAGTTAAATATTCCATGTGGTCAAATGACTAATTCTCTCAAAAGTCATTTACTAGACGATAAGGGGCCAATAATTTTTCGCCCAAAGCGATAAACAAATACTTATTGTTTTTTATCAAATTTAATTTGAGAGAGCTGACCAATAACCCTGAATTATGGTTGCGTACTCAGCAAAGACTACGAAATGATAAGGGCACAATTCAAAGCAACAAGTTATTGAACTGCAAATGTTATTAAAAATTATTTACATATATAGCACTTAAGTATGCATTTTATACTCTCTGAAAATTATTTAATATCAAATTTCCCTCACATGTCTCTTATAAAACACCTAAGTT